ATTTAAGGTGTACCATCAACTACCAACAAGATGATTGGACAAACCTTCTGCCATTGGCAGAGTTTGCTTATAATAATACGGTACATTCCTCCACGCAAAAAACACCTTTCTTTGCCAATTATGGCTATCATCCACGACTTGATACTTTTGATTTTTCAAAAGTTGATAATCCTGCAGCAGAAGATATGGCAAATCGGTTGTCAGAGTTACATGCAATAATGAAGGCGCAGTTGAAGAAAGCTCAAGAACGACAAAAGATAAATGCAGATGTATATCGTAAAGAGCAACCACAACTCAACGTGGGTGATAAGGTATGGCTACTTCGTCGCAATATCAAGACCACTCGACCTTGTGACAAATTGGACTATCGTAGGCTTGGCCCCTTTTCTGTTTCTGAACAGATCAACCCAGTTGCATATCGGTTACATCTACCGGAGTCAATGAAGATCCATCCTGTATTCCACGTGTCTCTTCTTGAACCATATAAGACAGTGGATATACAAGGAAGAAGACAAATGCCACCGCCTCCTATAGAAGTAGATAATAATGAAGAATTTGAGGTGGAAGAGATATTAGACTCAAGGCGGCGCCGAAATAAGCTGGAATATCTTGTTCATTGGTGCGGATATGATATTAGTGAGCGCACATGGGAGCCATCCAGGAATCTAGCAAATGCATCAGCTAAAGTCAAAGTTTTTCATCAACGACATCCATCAAAACCAAGATGAAAACCTCTCTTATAAAAGAGACAAGATTGAGGCAAGATAACATTCAATTTTCTATCCTTGTTTGTAACTTCTTTGCATTTTGTGACGCTAATTAGATGGAGAGCCAACAACCAGCGGATTCAACTCAAGAACCTTCGTTTGCTGACTTATCGGATGAGACATTGCGATTGTCACAACCTTCAAGACGACGCAACCGAAATGAAGACCCTCAAGAACGACATGTTCTTCCTCGAATAGATGGAGAGATACAACGCGTTTGGTATCACGACCTTGGAAGAGATTCTCGATGTTTGGTGATATTATTGGAGATAGGAACGACTCCTGATGGTGTTTCAAATGTATTATTTGAAGAAAGTTATGAAGGCCTCAACAGTGATCAAATAACAGGGTGGTCTTCTCGCCTTGGAATGGGACACTATCGATGGCTAAGAGGACCCATCAACTATCTTCGAAGAGAACAAAGATCAGAGTATGTAGCAAATACAATTCGCCGCATATTAGATTTTCTCAATATATAATCACCGCTCCTCGTGGAACTCGTCCCTAGAAGGGGGGGTAATGTCACGGACATACATATAATTACCTATATGAATAGATAAAAGTATGTAAAAGTAGGTTAATTGTGTAATATCTTCTAGAGAAGCTTCTTAGAAGCTTCATAGACGCTGCTTTGACTTTATAGGAGTCTATAGTTGACTTTTAGGTTAGAAACTTGGTCAACAAGTTAGCCATGTGCCACGCATGTTGGAAGCTTAAAGAACAAGCTAACTACGTGGTCTATCCATAGAAAACTTGCCTTGCAAGCAAAGGCATGTGGCCTAGAAAGTCAACATATATTGGAGGTCTTATAGAACATCGCCACGTGGCTTCTAGTTAGATAGTATATATAGAGGCAAGAGTGAAGCCCTCTTCACTCTTGTCAACTCCTTTCTTGCTTCTAGTCTAGTTTCAAGGGTCTCTAGTTTTCTTGTATTTTGGCAATAGCCATTCCAGTTTCTTTCTTAATATACATATTTCTATTTTGTCCTATTTCTTTTTGAGAAAAGTCTCACTTACTCTTTAGCTTTCATCGAGTTCTTGTCCCTGACAATTTCTTAGTTTAGTTGTATATATAGAGGCAAGAGTGAGGCTTTCTTTACTCTTGTCAACTCCTTTCTTGCTTTTAGTCTAGTTTTAAGAGTCTTATGTTTTCTAGACTTTGACAATAGTCATTATAGTTTTTCCTTGAATATACATACTTTCTTCTATTTTGTCACTTTTCTTTTGACACAAATTCCATGAGTTTATATATCTTCTTCTAGTTTGTGTCCTTGAGAGTTTATACAATTATGTGATATTTATTTATTTATTTAAGATCTAAAATTCCTCACCATTGACCTTATAGACTTCTTTAGCTATTATCTATTCCAAAACAACCATGATCTTTTGTTTTTATGGATTTTATCAAGGATCTTTCAATCTCAAATTTATACGATTTTATATTTGTGATAGTAGATTGTTTTTACCAAGATGGCTTATTTTGTACTATTTAAAAAATCTATTATATGGAAAGAAACAACTAAACTTTTTCTTGACAACATCTTTTGCTATTATGGATTATTCAAAGATATTATAGTGGATAGGAGGACTCAATTTATATTGAGATTTTGAAGAAATCTTTTTAAGATTTAAAAGTGGATATAAAGCTTTTTTGGCTTTTCATCTTCAAATTGATGGATTAAAAAAATATATGAATCAAGTTCTATAGTAATATTTGAGGTGTACCATCAATTATCATCAAGATAATTTGACAAATCTTCTGCCATAAGTAGAATTTGCATACTATAATTTGGTACATTTTTTTACTCAAAAAATATCTTTCTTTGCTAATTATAATTATCATCTATGACTTAATACTTTTGACTTTTTAAAAGATGATAATCTTGCAACAAAAAATTTAGAAATTTTTTTGTCAGAGCTACATATAATAATATAAGCACATTTAAAAAAAAAAAAAAAAAAAAAAAAAAAAAATCAAGAACAATAAAAGTTCAATATGGAAATCTATTGTAAAAAATAACTACAATTCAACATGGATAACAAGATATGGCTACTTTTTTGTAATATCAAGACTACTCACTATTGTCATAAATTGGAGTATTATAGGCTTAAACCTTTTTTTATTTGTAAATAAGTCAATCTTGTTACTTATTAATTACATCTACTAGAGATTATAAAGACCCATCCCGTATTCTACATATCTCTTTTTGAACCATATAAAATAGTGAATATGTCAAAATAAAACGACAAGTGCTACTTCCTCCTATAGAAATGGATAATAATCAAGAATTTGAGGTAGAAGAAATCTTAGATTCAAGGTGACATCAAAATAGATTAAAATATCTTATTCATTGGCACAAATATGATATTAGTGAATGCACATGGGAATTATCAAAGAATCTTACAAATATAGCAAAGAGAGTTGAGACTTTTCATTGACAACATCAAACAAAATAAAGATAAAAGATAATAAAAGATAATAAAAGATAATAACTACTCTTTGTAGAACTCGTCCCTTGAAGGGAGGGTAATGTCACAAATATACATACTTACTCTAGTATTTATATATATGATTAAGTAGAAGTAAGTAAAAATAAATTTATTTTATAATATTTTATAGATAAGCTTCCTCGAAGCTTTATAGACGCTACTACTTGACTTCACATGTGTTTGTAGTAAATTGATAGGTTAGAAACTTGGTCAACAAATTAACCATGTATTGATAGCTTGCGGAACAAGCTAACTATATAGCACATATATAGAAAACTTCTTTTGCAAGTTAAGATATGTATATTACAAAGTCAATATGTTTTGGAGGTCCTTTAGGACATTGCCATATAACTCCTAATTAAGAGTATATATGGAAGCAAGAGTAAAGCCTTCTTTACTCTTGTCAATGCCTTTATAATCCTTAGTCTTGTTTCAAGACTTTTTAGTCTTCTTGTCTTTGGCAATAGCTATTCTAGTTTAATACTATATTATCTTTGAGTAATTTTTTAGTTTTTTTGAGTGACACTTTTTTTAGATTAAAAGGAATGTTACAACATTTAACACAATACATTGATAACCCGAGCAAGTTTACTATAAGATTTGGCTACAATTAGTTGACTATGGTAGAAACACATGGATTAAAACATAAGCAAATGTGTGATGCAGGCCTTTACAAGCTACAAAACCTATTAAATAGTTATATTAAAAAATGGTGTGAGAACAATATATAGGCAATGTGGCAAAACGATAGACCAAAATGGAAGTTGCAGTACTTAAACAATAGGTTAAGTCTTTGTAATTAGTAGGTCACTTTATCCCTGACGGGACCTGGTTGGGGCTATGTATCTTACCTTACCTGCAATAGAGAAGTAAACTCTATTTGTGTCAAAAGAAAAAGAAACCTAATGTGCCAGGGTCTATGCGTGCACCAGATTACAATTTAAATGCGACGAGCCAAGTAGCACGCTGCCTCGTGATTCTGTGATCTTTTCTTACGAAACAAACGACAGAGAATCCGATTCTCGGAGGGGAAAACATGGGTCGTGACAACAAGCCGAAGAGGTAAGATAGTGAATGGTACCAAACAAATTCGACGAATCCATGCTCAACCAGAAAAAGGAAACAAACAAAGCTCATAAATACCTTCATTGGAATAAACTCCACCGAATTTGTGCTACAACTGACACACCATCCACAACCACCGCAGAGAAAGGCCAGAAAATGGGCAAAAATCATGCCGATGTGGAAATGAAAGCATGGACTAAGGCTCTGGAAACTCCACAGCTCCATCCTCTCTTCCTTATTTCCCGCTCATCACTCACAGCAGCAGACGAACATTAGGCGCATGGAACGAAACTGAAACCACCGAGCTCACCGAAAAGTGCTACACACCAAACCCAAGGTGGCCTTCGAGGCACCGTGGTTATTCCGACGAGGGCGGGCTTTTAAAAAGTTTGACTTCGACGATGAAATTAAAAATAAAAAATAAAAAGGGGTGTAAGTTAAGGTAATAATGTCTGCTTCAGGCGGGGACCGACTCGCAACATTTTACTTTTCCAACTCGTGGGTAATAATAGAAATTTGATTTTTGCGGCTTTTTTGGCGGTTCAGCCGGTTTTGAGTCCCCCCCCCCCCCGGGTCCGTAATTTCATATTTGTTTTGTTTTGCTTTGCGTGTACTTTTGTGAGGAATGGGACATCCTTGTTTTATTTTGTTTAGTTAGTTTTCTTTTTCTCCCATGCTTTTCTTAACATGCATGTAGTTGAAATGGTGTTGAACACGTAAATGAACCGAGAAGCAACTGGGGAAACATCGGAAGTAGCGTGAGGCCCATGGCTGCTGCAGAAGCAGCAGCTTCGGAGGCGGAGAGAGCACAAGGCCACACGGCTGGCCATGGCTGTCCCCCTCTGACACCGCCTTGCGCTCGAATCAACGCGACTCAGTGAGCGTCGGGCCGGGCGCGCTCCGCGGAGGTCGCTCGCTGTGGCGGCTTCGTGCATGGGGCGGCAGGTTCTATGCGGGTGGTTACTTGAAAGCAAGCTCCCTTCCCCTCTTGCCGAATTTCGTTGCAGCACGAGGTCGAGGTGGGGCGAGGATAGAAACTGCCCAACAGCGCTTCTCTCCGACCTCTCTCCTCGGCATTCGCCTGCTCCTTGGTTACGTGGTGGCCGGGATCCTCCATCGCCATTGACGCAAATGACAATGTGAGGAGACGGAATAGAGTTGTTGAGGTTAGGGTTGTTTCTGGTTCGTATTTCGTCGCCAAAGTCGGAAGACCAGTGCACATCTGCGTCGTTTTCCGGCCTTTTCTTTTTCTTTTAATTTTAATTTTATTGTGAGATTAGTTGGCAGTGAAGCGGGAGTGGGTATTAGTGTGAACTTTTTTGAAGGAGGTAACGTGAAGGTTTGTTTTGGACGGTGGAACGTACATGATGAAGCGACCGATGGGGGTCCATGGTGCAAGTAAGGGTAGTGAGTTTCATGATGGGAAGCAGCAGCCTCTTCTGAAGCGGCAGAGGGATCGCAAAGCATTGGCGTCGGATGCGTTGCCGTTGCCCGTGGGATTGACGAACAAGATCTTTACCGTGCTATTTTTTGTGGCCTCGTATTTCCTTATGAGGTCATGGCGGGACAAGATTCGAAACGCGACTCCGTTGCACATGCTGAACCTGGGAGAGATCGCTGCGCTTATCGTCCAGCTTTCTTCATTTATCTACCTGATAGGATTTTTTGGAATAGACTACGTGCAAAACTTCATTAGCAAGAGCTGTGATGGAGCTTGGGATTCGGATGAGGAGAGAGAGTGTATTAGGCCCAACTGTCAGGTTGCGTCTGAGGCGCCTAAAGCTGTAGTTCAACTTATGGGAGTGAGTTTGAGCGAGAATGAGGATGAGGATATTGCTCGCGCTGTTAGCAATGGCGATGTTCCTTCGTACTCGTTGGAGTCGCAGATAGGGGACCCTTTGAGAGCCGCTGCAATTAGACGTAGATCAGTGGAAATGACCACAGGAAGGTCGCTAGAAGGATTGCCTTTGTCAGGACTTGATTACAGCTCCATCCTGGGTCAATGCTGCGAGATGGTTGTGGGTTACGTGCAGGTGCCTGTTGGGGTTGCTGGTCCTCTTCTGATCAATGGTCGCGAGTTTACTGTTCCGATGGCCACAACTGAAGGCTGCCTAGTGGCTAGCACCAATCGTGGTTGCAAGGCTATACATCAGTCGGGCGGTGCTACAAGTATACTGTTGCAGGACGGGATGACGAGAGCACCCGTTGTCCGTTTTCCAAGTGTGAAGAGATGCGCAGAGCTTAAGTTTTTCCTTGAAGATCCCAACAACTTCGATACCATTGCACACATGTTCAACAGGTAGGTCGCTTTACCATCCTAATATCCTTACATATTCTAATTCTTTAATTAAGCCTGTGTCTTTCGGCATTGTACGATTGAATCTTGTCAATTCCTTTTAGCCGCTGGGTTCCTGTTCTAATCTACAGAATTCCTCGATCCATGACAATGGGGCTCTTTGGATTTGGACACTAGGACCAGTCAAGTCGGATTTTCTCAGGATGTCTGGATGGAGGGTGTAGAACTTTCAAGTAGTACTACTCGTAAGGTCGCGTTGACAGTGTAATATGTGGCCGAATGGTCTTCATTGAAGACTGAACTTTACTGAAGAACTTTTTGTTTGTGGTGTCAGAACTAGTCGCTTCGGTAGGCTGAAGCACCTTAAATGTCAGTTGGCTGGGCGAAATGTGTACATTCGATTCTCTGCTTTAACTGGTGACGCAATGGGGATGAACATGATATCCAAAGGCGTACAGAATGTTTTGGATTACCTTCAGGATATAAACCCGGACATGGAGGTCATCAGCGTGTCTGGTTTGCAACATGACCCAGTTGTTGGTCCTTCGTTTCAGTTCATTTTTTCGCTTGTCTAGCGCTTGTTTAGCTGTACAGTATACTCACGTAGTCTGTACATGTGCAGGTAACTTCTGTGCGGACAAGAAACCAACAGCTGTAAACTGGATTGATGGTCGTGGAAAGTCTGTCGTTTGTGAGGCAATTTTGAAAGGGGACGTCGTACGCAAAGTCCTAAAAACCTCTGTGTCTGCCTTGGTGGAACTGAATATGGTGAAGAACTTGGCTGGTTCCGCCTTGGCTGGTGCGGTTGGGGGCTTCAATGCACATGCAGCCAATATCGTCTCTGCTATATACATTGCAACTGGACAAGATCCTGCACAGAACGTCGAGAGCTCACAATGTATAACCATGATGGAGGCTGTCAATGGTGGTCAAGATTTACATGTCTCTGTTACGATGCCTTCAATTGAGGTATGCATTTGATTTTTTTCTGGACGGATGCCTGTTTCACGGAGTAGAACTTGTCCTATCCCCTCTTTAGTCTTTACAACTTTCACCCTCAGACTGACTGTTAAATTTCTTCTGCAGGTGGGAACTATCGGCGGCGGCACACAGTTGGCTTCACAATCAGCGTGCTTGAACCTACTTGGAGTGAAGGGAGCGAATGCAGATTCTCCCGGTGCTAATGCTCAAGGACTTGCAAGAGTAGTAGCTGGAGCTGTGCTGGCTGGAGAAATCTCTCTTATGTCTGCTTTGGCCGCTGGGCAACTTGTGAAGAGTCACATGAAATACAACCGTTCAAATAATAACATGGCTTCTATTGGAAATGCGGCCCTGCCTCCACTACCAACAAAGTCCTCCTAAGCCTGACAAGCTTGCGAAAGAAGATGAGTGTAAGTTGGGTATTTCCTAAAGATATAGCCTCTAACAAGCAAACCTCGACTCATTCGGCTAACACATTCATGCTGTTCTCAATCTGCAAAGATTGCAGAAACAGATCTGAGATCCAAAATTGTGGATATTCATTTTCAGTGTTCCACGAGGCACTTTTTTGAAAGATCCTTCTTGAACTGGCAAGTACGCAGGAATCCTTGGAGTTTGTCACACATAGTGAAGTGCCACTAAGCCAATTAGGGAAATTTATTGTAACGGAATCCAGCTGACTAATCAATGGTGACTATATATCGGAAAGATTCCAAATGTTGATGTCAACTTTTATCTCAGATAGTTGATGAATCCCTTGATCTGGAAAAAAACCAAATGGTTTATTCCCTCTGCAAATGAAGCTGCATAATGGCTTTATTTGACCATATTCTTTTTAGGAGAATACGATTAGGAAAGAACTGGCATGGTGGGCAACGTTTACACGAGTTGCTACAACTCTCTTCACTGAAGGGATCATGTATATACTCCAAGGAAACGGCTTGGAATAACGGAGAATAGTTTTTACTCTACGCTATTTTCATGTCCATTAAAACCCGTGATCTCAGAAAAAGAGGGCTCTTTTCCACCTGTAGGACTAGTAAGCGAAACTTGCAATATCGTATGATTTGACTCCGTCCAATCTTTCCTAGTCAATAACTAAACGTCTATTAACAATCTACTTTCGAAAGACGGGAATCCTTAATTGACAGAGAAGAAATACATCTCTTTTAGTGGAGCGCAGAAAATGTCTGTACGACAATATTCATGCCAGAAAAAGTGAGCCTTAGAATTGACAGAAATCGTTTGACAATTACTAATACAATTTAACTACCAGAATTGCTTTATCTTACCATCAAATACTGGAACAGTGTCTGTTTCGTTATGGTTAATGGCTTTTACATACTGTATTATTTGCCTACATCAGACGGCAAATTGGTGAACATAAACTCAATATCACAATCAGCATTGCACGGACCTTATTCAAGATGACTTGCAACACATAATCTCAACTGGCAGAAGTAAAACATACTCCAGATTATTCCCACTAAGTGTATCATAGCATAGGCTTGTGTATCAATCCATTCGTTAATGTAAAAAATTCAAAGGAGGATGTACACACGTCTAATCGTTTTGATCAATTCTGCTAGCCGTTTTTTACTGACTAAGCCATATCATATTATCGATTCAACAAATGATCCAGGTTTTCGACAAAGGTATGGGCCGGTAACACAACCCTCACATATCTAGCTCCTCAATGCATCTAAACTCCCGCAGTATAATGTATCTTCATAAACAATTATATCACTGCACTAACTGCTCAATGTGAAAGAGCTGGTTCTGTCTCTTGGCTGGCACTTTCCGCAAGTTTGCTTGTGACAGCGGCCCAATCCACCTCTCTCAAAATTTTAATTCGGGCATCTAAAGGCACTAAACCAGCCTTCTCAGTCACTGAACCAGTTGTCTCTCCCTCTCTTACAAGGTCAAGCACAGCCCCAACTTCAGGGCCTTTCATTGACCCAGTGAGTAGCACTCGTACAGGCATGAACAAGCGCTTGCCCTGAAATAAATTTGAACCACCAGTAGGCAATTAGTCCAATGTCACCAAACATCTTTAACGGAGTTTTTTTAAGATCTGTGAAGTAACCGGTAACAGGAAATTACCTTGCGCTTGAAAGCCTTTCCCATTGCTTTGATCCACTTGCTCCAGGTGTCATGCCCTCCTTCAATGGCGGCTTGCAACTCACCATTGTCGTAGGCACTCACAATGGCGTCGGCAACTTCAGATATGTTATCATCAACGACATCCTTCACTTCAGAGCTGCAAGCAAAGAGATTAATTCAGCATCCAGACCTCATCAAAAATTAAGTCATCTTTTTCACTATATCGTATATGTTGCTCAGTGGCAGCAGTGGTAGTATGTCAGAAGTTGCTCTGCAGAGTCAAGTTCAGGTACAGGACCGACATGAACCACTCATGAAAAATTGAGTTGTACCTTGTTAAAGTCTCGTTAAGAGGGTAATGTAAAATGCTGAGCAAGTGGTTTTCAGAATCAGCCACTAGCTCAGTTCCGTTCTTCAGTAGCTCAACCGCTACCTGAAGCATCAGAGGTCAAATATTAGCATGAGCTAAAACATTCTCTGTCTGATATTTTAACAAGATGTCCATTGGGATGCCAAAGACTACTTCTTGTACAGTTCTTTACACAAAAAAACATCTCAATTGCCATAAAACTAACTTCATCTTCAAGAGAGGCAATAATTTGGAAAATGTATTATGTTAGGTTTTAAAACCACATTAAGCTCCGATAATCAAAATGCACATAGGCTAGTGGTATGTTAAAACCAATTCAAAATATTACCAAATTTTGAACTTTGTTAAAAGATGGTTCATCATTGATAAGAGTCGCACTTACATCAATAAACGATCCCGAGACTGACTCGGAGACAATACCCGCCTTTAACCATTGTTCTCTAAACATGGTTGCCACATCCTCAGTTGGCATCAAGCGTAAATGTTGCCCATTCATCCACCTGTATTTGAAAAACATCTCAACATCATGAGAACGCAAACTTGAAAAATCTACAAACTGGATACCAGCGTTCTAAGTAACTGTGTTACAAGAACAAAAGGATAAGGGATCGTCTATTATGGAGCCTGGTGCAAAAGACGAGGCGAGACCAGATAGATGTTCAATAAGACATGCTCGTTCAAAGTACCTAGATTAGAACTTACCCCAACTTTGTTTGATCGAAGATTGCTCCACTCTTGGTTATACGATCAATAGAAAACTTCTCAACTGCCAGTAAAAAATGTATTTCATCAGTAAATTCCGCTAAGGATCTTGATAAGGATCTTGACTTCAGTACGATAAGGATCTTGACTTCTTGAAGATATCAGAACTTGTTACTTGACTTCACGTGTGTTCACGAAAATGACCTATTTTTAATAAGAAGTAACGCTTCACTACGAACGAGAAACAGGTGACACTGGAAGAAACGTACTGATTTGCTCAATTGTGAAAATTTCATCTTCCGATCCATCGTTCCAACCCAAAAGGGCTAGGTAGTTTACCATGGCAGGAGCCAAATAGCCCATCTCCCTGAACTGGACAATCACCCTCATCGTCAGTCAACAAGTACTCTACAGATGAGTCACTCGGTGGAAATGAAGCAATGGGGTTATCTGGAGTAGCTATTGGTCAAATCATAATAAAAAGATTGAAACGAGGAAATACCTGGCCCACAGATGTAGCTCCGTGACGTTTGGACAGTTTGCTGCGATCAGGAGCTAAAATTAAAGATACATGCCCAAATTGAGGCATAGAGAATCCAAGAGCCTGCAAAACAACAACCCCTGTAAGCATTAGAAAGCCTTGAGCGTGTCAAAACCACGCTGTAAAGAACTAAAGACGCGTTCAATCTGTAAGAACAAGACAGAAGTACAGATTCAAGCCAATGTATCCCAGTGCACACACGCAATATACGCAAAACTGCCCAAAGGATTGATTAACGCTCAAGAGTTCAGTCGTCTTTTTACTGGGCACTCTTAGACTTCAGAGAGACTAGAGAAAAACTTACATTGTAAATTAAAGCCTGTCTTAAGGTATTGGGTAGGTGCTCCTCCGCTCTGCACATTCATGCGCGTTTCTAATCAATGTTTTTTAAGAAAATACAGAAAACAAAAAAAATGGCAAAAGCCATCTCCGGACACAGTGATCCAGCATAATTATCGTAGTTACAAATATTGCTATAAAGATTGTAGTCATGGGCCTTCTATAAGTAAGACATAGGTCATAAAATTGAGAACTACTCTCAGATATCTTCTCATTCCTTTAAAAAAACTAGGAAATCTCATTAATTGAAAGTCACGATCCGGAAGTCAACGACTTGGCGACTATGGATAGAAAACAGAAGTCGCTATTAGTACCGTAGTTAGATTTTTTTTTTAAATACCTGATAACATGAGAAATCTTCATGGTTGCATCATCGACAGCCACACAAAAGTTGTATACAGGTTGTCCATTGCTTCGCAGCACCACAAAATCACCTAGAGTGTCCTTTTTCCAAGAGACCTGTTTGGGATGTATTATTCAATATACATTGAGTACGAACAATCTGAAGTGTGACGAAACAAACCTAAATCGTGGACATATGTTTCTTATGTTCAATCAAAACTTGAAGCCTTCGTGTGGTAAATGGTATTCACATAACCGGTATTCTCCCGCCCATATTGGATATCAATAAACTCAGATTTACTTGTCTCAAAGATTAAAAGAAACCAAAGATGAAAAGGTTGTTTCTCAACAAGAAAATTCGGGAGGTAGTCTGCGAACCTCGCCACGGATCAAGTCGTGGATGGTGACAGACCCTTCTTGAGGAACTCGGAAACGGTATGTGAATGGTGTGCCCTTCTCCAGCTCTGCATCAATCTCGGCCTGAGATGCAGAACCCCACTTGCCCATGTATCTAGGTGGCATATTCTTAGATTTCGCTTCCTCTCGCATTGCTTCAAGCTCCTGCCAGAACATACATATGTTGTAAGTAAAGGACAAAAGACTATCCAATAATATTTCATGGAGAAGACAAATCAATTTTCGGGGGGAGGGGAGGGGGGGATTTGGAAAATTGTACCTCGTCAGTGCAAAAACAGCGGTACACGTGACCAGTCTTCAGAAGCTTCTCCACATATGCTTGGTAGATATGAGTCCGTTCTGACTGCCGGTAAGGGCCACACTCTCCTTCTTTATCAGGGCCTACATCATAGAAAAAGAAAAAGAAAAAGAAACATCAAAATCCCGAAGTGAATATGTCGAAGAGACAAAGCACACGTAGAAATCGGAAAAACACAGCCTTTAAAGGTACCAAACGCGCTGGGAAAAGAGTTCCAGTCTCTACAAAGAATCACAGGCAGGCAAAGACTAGTCGATACTAAAAATATTGAACATTAGCAAAACTTATCCAATCGATTAGTGAATTTATGAAAATAAAACAAAATGAAAATTCCTATCTTAATGCTTTACATCAGATATATAATATTTGAAAGAAAAGGAGATTCCATGCACCTTCATCCCACTCAAGACCTAACCATTGCAAATCGCGGATAACGGCTTCCTCTGACTCCTTTGTTGACCGCTCCAGGTCAGTGTCTTCAATACGAAGGATAAACTTTCCACCGAGCGACCTGAGCTCATTGAAACATGATTAACGGTTTAGTAAGTTACACAAAACTTGACCAATTTCAACCGGATTGTGTATATACACACACACACAGGTGCACAAAAGTAATACCAAGTGGTACAAAGGTCTCCTGGGGCCATTCTATCCACAATGTATTCTTTCTATCAGGAAAAAGGTAATTAATCTTCAAGCATTCCCAAAACTGTTCTTATACTCAAAAGAAATAAACGGAGATTTAAAGAACCAAGAGGCGAGGAATTTACAACCATATACACAAAGAAGAGGAGGAAGAAGAAGAAGTAGATGCGAGATGTTAAGAAACGAAAAAATGCAAAGCTATGAAAATTAAATGCAGGTCTAAACATTAGGGCACAGAGCAAGCATGCTAAGCGACTCTATGCGTTTAGTTCAATGATACATCTCGCACGAATGAAAAGACGTAACTCGTACTACTTATCAAATGGAATTTCCCAGCAATTATCTCAATACTATGCATATTTGAAGGAGAGCACTATGAAGGTGAACACTTTGATCTCCACCTTACCAGGGGTTTATGTCCTCGCATTATCTGTGCTTTGTTCAATCAATAGCAGTAACATGTGCAATCCCTACCGCCATAATTCAAAGAGCTTTAAACCCTGAGTTGTGTGTTTTCAAAGCGCCATTGCGACGAAAATCCCTAACAGCAACAGGAGAGCACAAAGCGAACTCACTTAGCATACAGATAGTTGAAAAGCGCAGTCCGAGCTCCGCCCACATGAAGATTTCCCGTAGGAGATGGAGCGAACCGCACCCTGACCTCGGAGCCCTTAAGATTCCCAGTCCCATCTCCTTGAACAGCTCCTTTAGTCGATGCTCTAGCACTCAACAACACTCTCGGAGCCACATTCCCGGAATTCCTCAATGTAGGCAAAGCCAACTTCTCCAGGGGGTTCAAAAAACTCCCAACCCATCTCACAGAGGAGACACGCTCCGGAGCTCCGCACGAGTAGAGCATCACCATCTGATTATTCGCTACACACCTCGTCGGACCACAATTCGCAGCGTGGGAAACCTTCAATGAAGGCGCAATGTACTGCGCCGCGGCCGCGGGCGCCAGCGCATGGCCGTGACGCGCCAGCCATGGCGTCCTCATTGCCATATTTCCCACAAATTCTCAACGATTCAGATTACTCTCTCTCTCTCTCTCGCTCTCTCTCGCAATCTAAACCGATAGCTTGGCGAGTCACTTCACGACAATGCGGCAACAAACACTGGACGTAGCGAGCTGGACCCAGTGACCCAGCTGCTAATACGAGGAGGGGAGGAAACTGGGATTTGAGCGAGAGAGACAAGTGTAAACTGGTATTGGAATTGTGTGCGAGGTGGGGATTTCCTTGGTTGGCAATAAGCCTCTGGCGAAGACCCTCATCCCCAAGTACCCCTCCCCCCCGCTCCTGCTCCGGCTTGAGCCAACACTGCATACAACGTGGGAGCTCGCAGTTCAGAGCGGTAACCAGCGTCAACGCGCGGCAGCCAAGTGACTGTTCTACGTTTCGCATATAATAATCCAACATTTGGGTCATCCCCTTTAACAATTGTGGGTTATGAAAAGGCTCCTTTACCTCCCCTCTTTGACGCTGTGAGTCACTTGAGGGATGCATCAGTGTGTAGTAAGGCTGCCAGAAATGCAGGATATCGGGGATAATAGTATCTGAGCCGGAGGATGAACTCCATTGAAATTGATCTTCGAGCTGGATCGTTTCCTGGGTCGGTCTTGAAAATGCTGGGTTCTGGCAAGTCGATTGCACCGCTTGATATCATAACTCGACAGTAAAAGCACAAAGACAAGCTTGAAGAAAATACATATTTTTTTATTTTCAGCAGGAATTGAACAAGATCCGCCAGAGCTCATGCCGGAGTGGTTATCGGGCACGACTAGAAATCATGTGAGCTCTGCCCGCGCAGGTCCGAATCATATTGAGCACAATCTCTGATAGTTGTGTGTTTTTCCTTTTTTGAAATTCTCATAGAAAGCAAAAAATAGTGCACAAATGAGCAATAGGTGAGAGTTTTTCCAGTTTCCACGAAGTGGTTTCTTGGACCTGCGTGTTGGTTCTGAGAAGCTTCTCTTGTGGATAGTGCCCCCTTCTCAGCTCCGAAGTTGGTTGGTTTTGGACCCTGGCCTCTGGATAGATGAGTCGTGCCCTCACAGCACACTCGCCCCCCCCCCTCAACACACCGATGGTTATTGTTTAGGAAGGGGTTCTATGTCCCTGCAAGCAAAGTGATTTTAGTTGCTAAGTAGGGATGTAGAAGTAGAGTATTACACATAATGGGTTTAGTTGTAGACGATGGCAAATCAGCATGGTCAAGTGGTTTAAGGCGCCATATTGGCTTGAAATGGATGTGGTTTTGTGAAATTTGGAACGAAATTGTTGAGGCACTTAGATCCAAATTTCTAAAAATATCTCTAAGTGAATTTGTAGTAGTAGCATTGAGTTGCATTTTCTAGTAAAGCAATTATCATTTCTTCGAATATAGGATTGCACCAATTTTTCAAACATTTGGAGCAAAATGGAACAAGATATGCAAGTTAATTAAGTCAAAGCTTGGGATTGTAGAAGTAAGGTCAGTATCTCTATACTAGTAGTAGGACCAAAGGATGTTCTCAAGGTAAAGGACATAGAAGAACTGAGAGCATCCTTACACAAATATTACACAAGATGAAGAAACAAGCCAACATTTGGGCTCGTAGAAGCTCAATTACAACAATTGGCAACAAAAGGTAAAGAGACAATACAAGTCATGTTACACAGAAAGATCCTATAAGCAACAACACCAATACAATAGCAAGAAGATTTGTTAGGAATCTCCATAACAACTCCAATATATGAAATATCATTTTTTTCTAACAACTTTGTAGGTATAAAAGGGAAATAGTTGGAGGTTTTAAGTAAGGAGATTATTACTCCTTTACTACAACAACAGAAAATATCAATACAAGAAGGTACATCATAATATGAAGGAATGATTGAGATATGTGAAGATACATATAATAGATGAGGTGACTCAGATGAAGCCATATATATCTTCTTGAAGAAGCAGATTAAAAATAGATGCTCACAAGGCAAACAAGTAATTAATTAGCATGGTCACTTCAACCTCTCTTGCACACATTTGGAGTATAAAGAACTTAGAAAGTTAATAGAACAAGTTTTGCCATATCTTTCAAGATTTTTTAGGAATGACTATGAGAAAGCAAGGAAACTCAAGGTAATTTTAGAATCACCATACATAAGGGCATCACAACCAAATATGTAACTGCCTTCTATTATAGACATATTACTTACAAAAATTAAAAAATAGCAACAAATGAAAGGAAATGATTTCCAAAAAGTATCTAAATCAATTCAAGAAATCCAAATAGATATATGAATAAGAGGAGATGACACATTTGATGAACCTTGGATAATTATAGTACATGAAACAACCATTAACTACCTTAAAAAAATACTAAAAAAAAATAGAAGAGTACTAGGAAGCAACCTTAAGTTTTTGAAGTTTATTATTTGGATGAGACAAAAATTACATCACTCATTTAAACAATTATTCTTTTAAACAAATAACTACTTCAAAGTTAAATTTTTTTAAATAGAAGATAGACAACAAACCTTAGTAAATTACAATTTCTTTCTATAAGATCAAAAGATAATATTTACAACCTAGATATAATATATCAATAAGAATAATATAAAAAAGAAGAAAAAACAACAATATGGATGCAAATAATTAGACTATTGTACAAAGTTAGAAATTACAAATATCTAATGAAGGTGGCTTCATTGTTTTGTAAAGTGATAATAGTAAATGACACAAAAACATACCAATTTAAGTTCTTAGGACCACATGCAAAGATATTGATTATTCAATCAACTATCCTATTGAAATAAATCATTCTCAATAGATTTGATGGTAGAAGGGAGATAATATATAATATGGAATATATTAGTTACTTCCTTCAATGCATCGAGTGTCACTTCATAGATTATTCAACCCACCAATGTTTATTCACCAAAAGATCCATACAAAGTAGATTAGTAGATAGACGAAAGAAGTTATATGGAGCCTTCATCTAAATGGAAAAATGGCAAATAAATATTACACATTAAATAAGCTTCTACCACCACAAAGGGTCTCAAATCTCTTGTATCAAAGAACTAAATAAGAAAACCTCATTTATATTCATATGAAAATCAATAGTGAAAAAAGACAATAAGAAGAAACTAATAATCAAAGGCAAAGTAGGATACCAAACCAATAGGATAAGAAACACATTTTGAGAAGCACTAATATTGACAAAAAAACCAATAAGTCAATTTTGCATTGTCGTGATTACACCAATACTATATAATAAATCCAACATAAGTTAAGAAACATTTATGGATCACACAAGAGAGATAATTTAGCCCTTAGGTTGATATTTTAGGTATTATTTTAGATGAATGTATACTAAAGAAGAATCCTTCAATTTGATTTTGATAGATGTTATTAATAAAAAGTATCGATCTTCTTTACTAAATTTACAAGTTTCTTTATTGGCTTCTATGTGAATTCACTAATTTTATATTTGCACTAATGAATAAGACATTCCAACCAATTTTGGCACTACCTTAAGTCTAAGATTTCTTTGATTTTATATTCTTCGTTATTATCCACTTCTTTTAAAGGAGGTGGCATTTATTGTCTTACTAATATATCTATTAACTTCTATGACTTAAGAAGAAACACATGAAATATAGAATAGATTTTTATAGACTCCAATAGATATAATCAATAAGCAGTTGAATTAATTTATTCACAAATAAGAAATAGTCTAATTCTATAGTAATCTAACTTATCATAAGAGCAAATAGTCTTGATATTGTAACAAAGTAACCATACCTTGTTGCCAATATGGAATTGAGATTGTTCTCTAAAATCTTAATATAAATTGTATCTCCCTATTTGATATAATATCCTTTGGTACTCCATAATAGCAATAGTTATTTTTTAAGAAAAGCTTAGCTGTTTCTTTACCTATAATAGATTTTATATATAGTACAAAATATGTCGTCTTGATGAATTGATCTACTATTACAAATATAAAATTAAAAGAATCTAAAATTAAAAGATCTATGATAAAGTCCATAGAAACAAAAGACCATAGTTATTTTAAAATAAATAGTGGTTGAAGAAGTCCATAAGTTTGATGACAAGGACTTTTTAATCTTGAACAAATGTCACATGATTGTACAAAATCTTTAATTATTTTTTAAATTTGAAGCCACTAAAAATATCTAAATTTATCTCTAAATTTTTTTATATTCAAAATGTTTGATTATTGAAAAGTTATGACAAGCTTGAAGAATGTATAATTGTACTTCATATTTTAGAATATATAATTATTATTTAAAATAAAATAGATTATTTTAAAATTCAAACTTAGAAGCATCTTGAGACTTAGAAGAATTATTCTCAATATCATAAAGAAGAAGATCAAAAGACATACTCAATTAAACCTACTTGAAAAAGGTTGAATCAACAATAAATTTTGAATTTATTGTTCAAACATGAAAATGCTCTGGCTTAAAAAATATTATTCTTTGTTGATCAAAAGATGCATCCCTTTTTTTTGATGTAAGATAAGAATGTCTAAAAAAGATATTTGACAAACCATATTATTTTTTAAATTAATAAGTGATCTTAAAATTAAATTTTAATAAAGACATGATCGAATAAGCTTAACGATAATTCAAAACATGTATTGATATAAAGTACTTGAGATACTTCTAATTTGTATATATGATAATTGGACTTGCAATGGCTTATAGATAATGACACCATTTTTGAAATAAATCCACAATTAGAAGAAGCTCTTTGTTGTAGATCTTGTACTTAATCTTGTTTACTGAAAAACTTCTAGAATGAAATGCTATCAAATAGAGCTTAATATCTGCTCCCATTTGTGACAGCATTGCATCTATAGCAAAGTCTAATGCATTTTTTTTCATAAAACATGCCTTGAAAAAATAAACGCAATATAAGATTGATACAAAAATAAATGTTATCTTCAAGATTTCAAAAGATACTTTAATTTTTTTGCTCCATTAATGTTTGTCCTTATATGTCAAATATGTAAGAAGAGCTACAATTTGA